TACCTGCCTCAAATGTGGATGTGCAGCATCTTTGAATCATGTGCTATGGGAGTGTTCCTGGTGGCTAACCAACCTCCCAGAGCCCCCTGCTTTTGAAAGATTCAGGAAAGAGTGGCCGATCTCTTCCTTGTGGTCCAGGGGGATGACCCCGGCCACCACCTACCCGGATGATGGCCAATGGGTGCGCACAACTGGGGCGTGGAATGAATCTCATGTCATCACTGGAGAAGGGGTTTATTTCGCCACCGACGGCTCCCCAGGCCGGTCCAAAGATGTCCGATTCCATCGTTACACGTGGGCTGCAATTGCCTTTAGATTGGACAATGGCGAACCCGCTGTAATTGCAACGGCAGTTGGTGCCTTGCAAACCCCGCTTTCGGTGTTCCGGGCGGAGGCTGCTGCTGTTAAATTTGTTGCCGAGCACACTCAAGGAGATGTTGACCTCACAATGGATTGTAAAGGGATTCTCTCTAGGATCCAGGGGAAACCTTCCATCCATTCGGCTGATCTTTTTGAGCCAATCAGGGAGCATTCCCACAGAATCCGCCCCACTTGGATTGCGTCGCACCTTTCGGTTCCCAAATTCATTGCGAGGTTTGGTGCCAACCAACTTTGGCGTAGGCGGGCCAATGAGCTGGTCGACCGCCTGGTGGGTGAAGCGGCTGAACAAAGAAGAGATCCACTCTATGAGTCCAGCATAAAGAAGCTGGATGCTGTGATCACTCAGGTCAACACCTTGTTGGCCAAGCGCTCTGCAGCCCTTCTCTCTTATGATAAGGACCAGGGCCCTCAGGTGCAGTGGCCGGATAAGGAGCAGCGGAAAACTCGGGCCAAGCCTCGTGTTCGTGATTCTGCTGTCATCAAAACGAAAAAATTTTCAAAGGTGAAGGGGCCTAATAAGAGGTTGCAACTTGAAGATTTGATCGCTGGTAAACAACAGCTTGGCCATGCCTGGGTCGAAGGGAGTCGGAAGCCGTCTAACTTGACCGCTAAATGCTCGAAATGTGGACTGTATATCCAGCAGACCGACCCCATTCAGGTCTTCTCCCTTAAGTCCTCACACCCGTGCCTTGGCGTTCAAGCAGACCCCCCCCCTTGGAGCCCTCACCCTGACCACGTTTGGGTTAATTTGGGGGTGTCGTGGGTGTGTTCCAAGTGTGACAGGATGGTCAAGGTAGGAGTCCGAAAAATTCCCTCTTGGATCTGCCAACCCTGTAAGCCCAATGGGAGTAAAGTTGCGACGGCTAGTTCCAAAAAGGCGAAGGAGGTGACTGACACTGGTGTTAGGAGTGTGAAGTCTTTTTTCCAGCCTACTGCCAGTCAGGAACCACAAGCCCGGAACTTGCTCCCGAAACCGAAACCCAAATCAAAATCGAAGCAGTCTGGGCTCAAGCAAGCTAAGATTGCCTTCTAAGTATGCCGCCGAAGCATAAATCCCCTGCCTCTAAGGCCTACTCAAAAGCCCGGCCGGGCAAGCGTGAGAGAGCTCGGCTCAGAGGTGCAGCTCCTAAGATGCGAGCGCCGCCTGCTGGTGTGAACCCCCCGCCTCCTAGGCGGAGAAGGGTGGAACCACAGGAAGAGCAAGCCCCTGAGCCTGTGCCACAAGAGTTGCACCCCCCTGAGCCCTTGGTGGACAACCAGGCTCAGGGGATGAGAAATCCTGGAGTCGTGCTTCGGGAAAATCCTCAGCTTGAGCAGCACAATCCTGAGCACCGCCCTGCAGCTTTGGTGGCAAACCAGGCTGAGTATCGTTCTTCGAATGCCTGGAGAAGATAGAGCTTTATTGTTCAAAGGAAACAACATCAAAAATAAGGCTTATCGGCTCAAACCTGAGTGGGGTTCTTTTGTGTAGGGTCAACCGTGCCTGTGGCCCCAAACTGGCTCGCTTTTTAACCGGGACCCCCCCTCGACGTTGTAGACAGTGCTGCCTCATGACTCGACTGATGTGGAACACATGCAGTCCTGCCCTGGCACTCACAGCGCTGATTGTACAACTGATGTGGCATGCTTGTACATGTGCCTGGTTGGTTCCAGGCTGGCTCACGCCTCTGCCTGAGGTGAACATGGAGACCTCAACACACGACAATGGGCAAGCTCCGGGCACGCCGGATACGATTGATGAGTTGTGGGATGATTTTGTGGCAGAGACTGGTGGAATGCCCACTGCCAACAATCCAGCGACGAGCTCACAGAACTCCCAAGCTCTCACTCTGCAATGCTCAGATGATGATACTGCACATCTATTCTGCGATGAGGCCCTGGTGACGGTAGACAACCCCCAGGATGTTCAGACATGCTGGTGTGAGCTTCAACCATGTTTGTGTCTTGCGGGTGATCAGGAAGATGAACAGGATGATGCAACGGTGATCTTGCCACAAGAAAACACGATTGAGCCGGACATCATGCAAGTGGATGCCTTCACGCCTGACTTGGTTGGTGCCCCCCTGACGCCGCAATCACAACTTTCAGAAGACTATGTGGATGTCCATCAGGACGATATATCACTTGGGGATTTGCTTGGGCTTGCAGATGGCCAGGGCACGCAATCTGTTGAGGCGACGCCCTTGGAGATTGTCACGAGAACCGACTCGCTGCTGCCAATCCAGTCTACAAGCTGCGGCAGTGATCAGTCACCTGTGAGGGACTGTATGGCTGCCTCAGGATCTGGTTCTGTTGGTGTATCGCCCATCCGATTGCATCTGACACAACAGGAAGTGAGGGCCTTTCGCAGCCCTGGTGCTTTCGAGAAGCTGGTGGATATGGTGAGCAGGCGGCTCCAGGAACGCAGGCCTGACGACTATAAAGACATCGCCAGACGAGCTCTGCAAAGCTTTACAGAGGTGCGGTGCCCTTTCGCTGCATGCCCAGTATCACACGTTGTCACACCACCTGCATGTAGGACCCAGCAAGCCCCTCCGTGCCTGGCCGGCCCAGACAGCTGCGACGTCCTTGAGGTCACGCGAGCCAACATGTGGAGTTCTGGGCACTTCCGCGCACTAGGCCACCTTCAGCCAGTAAAGAATAATAACTGCTTAGGCCTACAAGGGACACGACAAGTATGCATCAAGGGTAGCAATGCTAAGGGCAAACTAATGCAGATGATTACTGACTGTCACTCCAGGTGGCACTCAGCAGATCAGCGGCAGTGGGGTCACCACGCCGGCCGAAAACTCAGACCCAGTAAGCGGAATCTCTACCCCCTCCACCTTAGACTCACCTACCATCCCCCTAAAGGCATTATGGATTGTTGTCTCCCCACCTCAGCCTGTGTCTGGCGTCCCAGCGATTATAACTTGACAGGTACAACACAGACGTGTGGGTGTGGGCTGCGGGGTCACCGCGCCTGCCAACAGCTGAGACTACACATAAATTTCTACCGTAAATGCAACCTGCGCTGGTCTTGCAAAGGTTCAGCACCCAAGGCGGCAGTCTGCTGTCAGGAGCCCACACTCTCCAGTTGGGAGTCAGCGTGCGCGAAAGCAAGAGCCACATTCTTCATGATAGAGGACTCACATCATCGATCCCTCATACCGAGGACAGCTTCACCAATCCCCGGACTGTGGGTTCACCACGCCGGTCCTGCCCTTGGCAGGTTGCGTATGCTGATAACCAAGAGGAGCAACACATTCCAGCCTGATGCCCCATACCTCATGCATGGTTCGTTTGTTACCAGTTGCCCTCCTGCAGTGAGCCACGCCATTCACGCAGTAACTCGAACAATCGGGACAGTCCCCTGGCCAGGAACTTCTGCATATCGTGGGCGAGGGCAGCGGGCTCACCGCGCCTGCCAAAACCTGAGCCTTCACGTCTGTCAAGGGCAGCCTATGACAGTGAGCAAGCCATGCCGAGGTCTGCGAACCAACGTGAGCAGCCATGTCCCTCATAAGCCGTCCCAACCATGCTCACCAAGCCGCTTCAGCATTCTGGCATATTCAGTCAACACCACACACAATATGCCTATTTGTATGCGAGGTTCATACGTGTACCAACACAAAAGCAGCCTCCAGAGCATGGTGACTGACTGCACGCTGATCCCTTGTCCGCTCGAGCTCCCTGTGCCGAAAAACTGCAGTGGCATCACACCATGTCGTAAAGTCCGAGCTGGCGGTCATGGTGCTTGCAATGATGAGCATCTTGAACTCGAACCTGTGCACGTCACTGCACCTGTTGGCTCGCTCTACATGTCTCAGTGTGCAGCCCGACTAAGAGGACTGGCCCCTGTATCACATGGCACACAGTGGGCCTCATGCTTAGTGTTCATACACCAGCCTGTGATGTGGCCGAGTCTGTGCTCTCACCGTATGCCAGAGCCGCCGACTTTAGGTGAAGCAGTGAACGCTCTCATCACCACAACACCTGCCCTGCGCTCCAAGTGGGTGCCCCAGCAGCTTGCTCGGACACCGCAACAGGCGCTGCTCCGCCGAATCAACAAAGTGTGCCTGCCTTTAGGAACAAGGTTAGTAGCAGGGAACTGCCTACTCCAGTGGAGCTTCGGAAAGCCTCATTCCATGTCCAACCAGATCAATAGTATCAGACATCATCCGGTAAAACCGCTTTCTTGTACTGACTGCAATGCTCCCCCAAAGGTGCAGGTCCGTAACGAAGGTGCATACACCAAACCCAGCCTCCCCACACTGTACGCTCTGCTCACCAAGGTCGCCCGCGACACCCATCCAGAAGGCCGTCACTCGTCCAGCAGCTCTGCAAGATTTCACCACATCGGGCATGTAACACCTGCACAGGCAGCTCGACTGCAGGGGCCGCTGAGCATACCTGTAGTGTGCTCAGAAAGCCAGAGGTGGTCGCTCAGCCCACCATGTGTCTCTCCATCCCTGGAGCGCAGTTGCCATGCAATATGCGGACTTCCGAGGCCACAGTCTCCTGGGGACCCTATCGGTCTTTCCTTCCATATGCCGGCATCCAAGGGCCAGTCTGCAGACTGGTGTGCCTCTTTCAGTGCCCACAGACTGGAAGAGCGTCTAGGGGTACTTGTTCAGGGCATGCCTGCTGATTGCACCACCTGGTCGTCACAACAATCTGCGGCCTTTGTTGATGCTGCGCTGCAACAGATCAAGGAGGAGATCACCCTGGGCCTTCACCAGGCCAGCACACATGGCATCATCCACAACGTCCTGATGCGCTCACAGGCTGGACATCAGTCAACTGCGGATGCCTTAAATGCCCTCCTCTATCAGGCCCTGCAGCGAGCACAGGAGCAGCAAGTCATCAGAGGGGTGACGCATGACGCTGTGTGTGCCACCTCGCAGTATGAGCCACATACCAGTGATGTGCCATCAGCGAACTCCACCACCAGCTGCCGGAAGCGAAATCGTTGTGACAGGACCTCAGACGGACAATCTATATGCACCACCCCACAACCATAGCTGTCTACCTAAGGTCGGCGCCACACCAGCCATCTACGCTGAAGAACTGTCCCACACACCAGCAGAGGTAACGCATCAAGGTGGCACTTATGGTGGAAAAAAGACATCAGTGCAGCTAGTGAGAGAGGCATGTTGGAATTTCACGTGTGGAAATCAGTGCACCTCAGTCATCGTGCGGGCAGCAGCCATCTATCACTGTACCGTCGGGAGCCCCTGCCCGCAATGGTCTACTCTCTCCATGCTCTGCACAATACAGCGGGGAACTTACGCACGGACAATTGTGTCCAATGGAGCTAGGCAGATTACACTCTGCATGGGCACCATTCACCAACCGTGCACCGCCTTGAACACAAAGGCGCTGGCTCAGGCACCTCTCAAGCCACTACCCAGTTCAATGTATTTTGCCTGCCATATGTCGATCCTCCTCTCAGATCCTGGAAACACCCGAGGCTTGGCACTGCCGCAGGACTGGATAGTCAACGACGAGGAAATCATCCCAGCATATGATGGAGTTCACGCAGACCAAGACCGACGGCAGCTTGATACACAACGCTGTCCCATTCTACTCACCGGCACGGGTGCCAGGTACTCCCTACCAAGGCTGGTCTGCCCAGCTGACCAACAGGAGATGCCTGCCCAGACCGGGACGGAACATGTTCAGGCATTACTGGAAGCCCTGATCGCCGATGACAGGCCAAAGATCCTCCTATGCATCTCCTACTTTCTCGGGCAAGAAAGTGTGCAGAGTGTTCAGAATAGGCTGGAGACACTAACGCTGAAGGACTTGGAGCCGCATGCCATAGCAAGGCTCGCAGCAGGTTGGAAGGTGATGGAAAAACATCAGCAACTTTGCCTGGCCTTCTGCTTGGACGATACCGAGCAAGCGACAACACCGTGTCACCCTCAAGCACTGCAATCTTGTAGCACACACCTTTTCGCGAGTTTGTTGATGCCCTCTCAGGTCAGGAAGTATCCGGACAGGCGCGCACGGGGAGGCAATTGTCAAGCTGAGCTAAAGGACGGTAAGCGACCTTGTCTGCTGATGCCTCACCATGATCCTGCCAAGCGGCCGGAGCCGAAAACAAAAGGAAGGCTGCCCGCGATGCACTGTCCGCACTGTGCTCGACTGAATCGTCACATTCAGTCGATACTACCACCAATCACCATGAGGCCATCCATTTCTCCCGGAGCATCCATGGTTGTCTCTGCTGCTGGAAGCTCAGCACAGCTGCTTAGTTCTGCTGAAGCACACTCTGCATCAAATGTCATAGGCGTAATAGTGAGCCCATCTTCGAATAACCGCGATCCTTTCCAGCACAAGGGGTGTACGGTGTGGGCAAGTTTGTGTGCCATACAATACCACAACGGGCACCCTCCACGCTGCCAGTCCATAATCAAGCACCTCCGTCCCCGTCCCCCTACAGTTCTCCAGTCCCTAAATCCTTACCGGTTAACGTTGGCCATGGGACACAGCAAATGCTCCAAGAAGAGGCAAGGACAACGACCTGGCAAAGAACAAAGAGCAGCGGCACGAGAAGCAGCGGAGCTTGAGGCCCTGGCGGTCAATACCTCCACGCAAGAGCATCATGAAGAAGAGGAGCACCCAGATGCCGCCAATCTGGAACAAGGCCAACAATCAGAGATGTGGGACGAGGAAGGCCCATGGGAAGATGCAACGAATCCGGAACAACAGACCTGGCGACCCTCCGTGCACCAAAGTCAGGAAGACCCACAACATGCACCGAGCCATGACATGGCATCCCTGTCATCGCTCCCGGCGAGCTCCTCATGCAGCTCCCACAATCAACAGGCCTGGCAACCAGGTGAGGGCCTACAACTCCAACGAGTGCCGCAACGGGATGCAGAGCCAACCTTGGACGACGACACTAACGCCATGCTCACGGGAACCCCCGCCCGACTAGTGCAGCAGGAGAGGAATCCTGCCCCCTGCACCCCCGACATGTCGCCAGTGTCGCCGCCGGACGAACCGGGAGATCCAGAGCCGATGCCGGCAACACCCATGTCAGCACATGGCATCGCACAGCTGAACCTGCCACAGCACGACTGCCCAGACTCCATGGCAACACCTGAGGCACCACCGATCACGGCGGCGAGCTCAGCACCTAGTCTGAATGAGGATCCACCTCATCACTACACGCTGCAGCAGCTCTGGAACATGGAGGACGTCCACTCATCAGGGCCGCAGTCCACTTCAAGGGATCGCTCGGATAGCCCAGAACTTCTCCGAGCCTCATCTTCATCCAGCAGAAAGCGACACCACCGGCCCGAACGAAGTGAGACCTCTGATGAAGAAGAACTTATACCAGATGATCAGATGCAAACACAGCGGCTCGACGCCCTGCGACGCAACCTCCAGCGTGCTTTTGGTCGAAAAACGCTGAGCATCCTGGGAGCTGTCCTCCTCATGCTTGCCATTAAGCCAGTTTGTAGTGGTAGCATCGTAGGATTTGCAGCCCAACCATGCCGTCACTCAGGTCCTGGCCTGAACAGCCTATGGACCCTGACCGATCACCGAGGCCAACATAGCATCAAGATGCCACCCCCGATCAGCATGCAGTGGAATCGCCCTGTTGCCAATGCCGGCGCCACCAAATATCATGGAGGGGATGGCCACATAGGCACAACACCCACTATTTACTTCCAGATAGCTTCAAAAATTACCCCAAAAACCACAGAAAGAGCCGAGCCAGGTCCCAAATCCTGGCGCCGGGCAGCTGCGGGTACACGACTGAGTACGATCATGTTCCTATGCTGTCTCAGCGACACTCTTGCTGGCCCGGTAAAGCCGAGGGTTTCTCCCGAGGCCGCAACGGGAGAGGGAGCTCCAAGCTCCAGTCTGTCCGCCACTTATCGTAGTGGTGGAGCGAAACATGGCGGCCAGAGCCCAATCATACTACATGCAGAACAGATAGTAAGAAAAAGGTCTCTCCAAAAAGCCTGGGTGCAGGCGCACAGGCAAACTGCCACCAGGTATCGAGGAAGGACTCTTCTTGCCCCTGAGCACCCTACCTTCTCCGAGCATGCTGCACAAGCACCTCCCCATCGCCATAGATCTGCGGAAGCTTTCCCGGAGCCTACCCGCAGGAGACTCACCGTGATGACATACAACTGTGGGGGCCTTGCACAAGGCCTTTACCACGAATTGCTTGAGTGGCTGCGCGCGCCAGATGGCGCTGCTCATGCTCCGGACATAGTGTTCATCCAAGAAACGCATTGGAGCAAGCCTAGCGACTGGGATACACATGACTGGTACGTGCAGGCCTCCTGTCTGTCCGCACACCAGGCAGGACTACTCACCCTTGTTTCCAAACGTCGTTTTCCGCAAGCAGCCATTCGAACCAATGCCGCAGTGGAGGGACGTCTGATGTGCACCAGGTTGGAGGCTGCTGGAGTCGTCTACACCCTTTTAAATGTGTACCAAAAAGCCCTTGACAACAAGCCAGGCACCCAAGCAGAACGTGATGCAGTCTGGGACGCTCTTCGACTGCCCCAAGCGACATGAGCTCATCATCGCAGGCGACTTTAACACAGGGCTACAGGCTAGATCTCCTGAAGTTGGTTCAGCTGTCCACCGCACTGGCCAAGCCGCGAGGGCCAAAGATCAGGCTACCATGCAGCAAATGTTGCGCCAATTTGACCTCCGTGCCCTTAATACCTTTCACCCGTACCCACTGCACACAACGTACAGACATGATCAGGCTGACAAAATCAAAAGTCAAATTGACTACATCCTCATACGGGGTAGACACACAGACCAAATTGCAAAAAGACCGCACATCCTTTGCCAGACGAAACTTGCTGACTGGAGAGGTGGGTCAAAGCATTGGCCAATCCTCGCCAGCATCCCGGCAAAGTATTTTCACACTGCCCCCCCGCCACGAGAACGTCCACGAAAAGCTGGCGGACGTGAGGGCCACATTTCAAAAACTGTGATGCTCATATACCAGGAGCAAGTGAAATGTCACATTGAAAAGCTCAGTGATTGGGATACGAAGGTCGTGAACGACATACTTCATCGCACAGCTGAGTCCACCATCCTTCTCCTCCCGACACCACCAGAACCTACTGAAGCCAGGCCGGCCCCGGTCAGGCGCATGTGGCAATGTCACCATGACATTAAACACCTTCAACAACAAGGACCCGGGAATGAGGAAAGGGTTCTCGCCCTCAAGCAGGAATTCAAGGACCTCCAAAAACAAATACGCAGCCATAGCCAGACCAAGCGCAAACATTACCTTGAGGAACGAGTGAAACTCGCAACTGAAGCGGCGGAGCGGGGCGACGCCAGGGCCCTACACCAGCAAATCAAGCGCATAACGCCAAAGATTCCCAAAAGCAAAGTGCACCTGCGTGGTAAGGAGGGTCAATTGCTCTCCACGGCTCAGGAACTACGCCTTATCAGTACGTACTGGCAGGACCTCTACACTGGTGAAACGATCACGCGGCCAGTCACATCCCAAGCCGTCCAAATCACCCTGAATGAGGCATGCAGAGCAATTGCCAGCTTGCCTAGCCATAAGGCCTTGCCCAAGCACTACACCTCAAGCGAGGCTTGGAAACTCGCTGCCAATCCACTGGCGGCCCTCCTTCATCGTACCATATTGGCACAATGGCAGGCGGGTGTCATCACCATTCCGCAGGAATGGAAGGATGCCTGGCTCTGCCTGCTCCTCAAGTCGGGAAAAAGTGGGCGTAGCCCCGATGAGTACAGGCCAATCGGCCTGACTGATCCCATAGGGAAGGCGCTGCTGGGTGCAATTGCCCACAAACACCAGCAGACCTACTATCAATCCCTCCACTCTCTCCCCCAATTTGCTTATCTGCCGGGGCGGGGCACTGCTCAAGCCATTGCAAGAGTTGGACAGCATATCCATGAGGTCAAGAACCTTGTCTCTGGCCAAAAGCTGACTCTTCACCATCGCCACACGGGCGAAAGGCAACAGGACCTAGTTGGCGGCATCATCGTTTCTCTTGACATGACCAAAGCATTCGACAGGCTGGAGCCGCAGCACATGCAAAATGCACTCGCCGCCAGCAAGCTACCCAACGAGGTCCAAACGCTCATCATGGAGTGGCATCAAGGGGTTACCTACCACATATGCCATGAACGACAGGATGCCGAGATTCAATGCTCGAGAGGGATAAGGCAGGGTTGTAAGATTGCGCCTAGAGTCTGGGCTCTGTTCACTGCTCTTATCATGCACAAATTAGGCGAGGACTGGTGCCGTAATAACACAACTTGGTTTGCAGACGATATCCTCTTCCACCTTCAGTTCAGCAACCGACGCGAATTGCAGGCCAGCATCAAGGCCATTGCTTTTGCTCTACAAGTCATAGAGGACCTCGGCATGCAAATAGCGGCCGGAAAGAGTGCTGTACTCCTTCATCTGGGAGGCGCGCACTCAAGAAGGATGAGAAAGAGCCTTGTGGTCATGCATGACAACAAGCCGCACCTTGCCTTCCAGCATCAGGCGCGTGTATGGCACCTACCCTTAGTGGACAAGCATGATTACCTGGGCATTGTCCTGAGCTACACTCGGCTTGAGGAACACACCGCTACCAGGCGAATCCACTCTGCCCAGGCAGCATTCGCAAAATTGAAACCTGTCCTGACACACAAGAGAATGCCGTTGGAGCTACGCATCAGACTTTGGAAAACATGTGTGCTGGCCAGCCTCTATTATGGCCTGCCCCAAGTGGGACTGACACCACACACCGTGCGCAGGATAACCGTCCTGGTGCACAAGCAGCTGCGGCACATCACATGCATGCCGGTGCACCTGACCCACATCAGCAACCAGGACCTACGTGACAGACATGGGATCCTGCAACCCGTCGCGCACATCACAGCCATAGCACAAAAACAACTGGAGGAGGCAATGGCCGTCAAGTCGAACCTAGAGGCGGATGATGCACGAGTACACAGCCTAGTCATTCGAGGAGAGACGCGAGTTGCTGACATGCTTGCCACACTGATGCAGGATGAATCTGCGCA